ATGAGGCGACCTTCGGCCTTAAATACCCCCACCGGAGGGGGGCTTCCGCCGTAGATACTAGGGGAAGAGCTCGACAAGTTCAACCGACGGATAATTACCAAATGGGTTCGGTGAAGGTGGCACTTGCACTTTGCTAATCTACGTAGCTGAAAAATGCTTGGTTCCGGACTGGGAGAGCTTCGCGTCCCTTGAGGATGTTGTCGGAAGCGTAGAACTTGCCAGTTCGTAACAGTTGAATGTCTAAAGTTGTGAACGCGTCCGCCAATCCATAGTGCGAACGCTTGCTGCAGAACACCAAAGGGAGCCCGCTAGATGACTCAGTGGTTGGCCGTCCGGACATGCCTGGATGTCATTCCATAGGAACACCGCCGGCGGACTGTAACCAATCGATTTGAGCTCCACGAATTGCTGCATAAGCATCAACTTACGAAGAAATCGGAGTCTACCCAAAGCAAGCTTAGTTTGTTCGGGCGGAGGTTTGAAAACGGGTATAAGTACGTCAAGACCGTGAGTGCAGTCCGACCGAGGTTGGTTCCAGTCGCCAGCCCTTGTCGTCAAAGCCGAAGGAACAGAGCAAAGCAAGGACAAACAGCGACACAGCCTAGCTCCCCCAACCACAAGCTCGCAATAGGGATCATTGTTGACTGAACATCCCTACGCTCCATCCAACCGAATCGAGGTCCGGGATGGTTGAAGTTCTACGGGAGGCTCATTCCTGGCTCATCCCCATCACGTACGGGCGCAAACTCACGCTCTGGTGCAGCTGCCAGCATATTTCTCATGGCCTCTTCGACCATCACCGACGTGGAATTGCTTCCGCATGAAGCCCGAGGTCCCGTGTCTCCCATGCTCGACAGTAGTCGCTGTGCTTCGCAAACGAGTCGCGCCGAGAATCACCCGCGGTGGGGAATGCTGCTCAATTTTAGGCATTTTATACCCTCCGTGCGGATATAAGAACCATTGGATCCCTCGCATTCCTTCAAAGCACTCAATATGCTTCTCTCATACCTCACACCTTATATTTTCCTTGCAGCGGCATGGGCTAAAATCTTGTATGCTGGTGTCAACGAGGTAGACACGTTCGCTACCGCTGGTTCAAGAGCTAACACATCTTATCCCTCAGTCCGGAGGAGAGTTTGGCGTCTTTGCCCCAGTCGATACGCCTGGATTCGGCTTGCCTGGACGCTTTGGTGTAGATTATGCATTCATCAACAAAGTGTGTGGGCTGAACTCTTTCCCCCTACTGCGCCAATGACATGTCCCAGAGCACTGTGGATATTTTTGTCGACCAAGAGAAGATCAATTTCTTCCGTGTCACATTCCTCATGGAACGGATGTGCCCCCTCTCCTTCGGGCTTGGGAGGAAGTTCAACGAAACGGTAGGCATCGCACTCGAAACCGATCGGTTGGCACTGAAATTTCTGCAGTATTTCAGCGAGTATGCAGACGCCATCAATTATATCACACACACCAAGGGTGCATACGCTCTGCTCGACCCTCACAACTATATGCGATACAAGTTCGTCTGTTTCATCCAACCTCTGAACTCCGTTCTTGATACTTCCACGACAGCGATCCCTCAATGCAGCCCTTCACAGGAAGCGTACGAGAACACTCTTCTGGACCGCCGCTATTCCTGATCAAGCCCAACAGGTTATCGGAAACAGCTCCGATCCCACGGCCGCGACAACCAGGCAATTCGAGGAATTCTGGCACGAACTCGCCCTGCGGTTCGTTCACAACCCGAAAGTCATATTCGGGATAAACAACGAGCCCCACGATATGGTTTGATCGCTTCCCCAGCAATCGTACACCGCTAACTATTCGTCCAGCCCACGGACCTGTTGCTGAAAAACAATCAGGCTGCAATCAACGGCATCCGTGCGGCGGGTGCGCTCCAGCTAATCCTCGCACCAGGGAACGGCTTCACCGGTGGTCACGCCTGGACGCAATTTTCGGGTGCTGCTGGGGATGCCCCGTCTAGCGATTTCATGAATAAGCTGGTGGATCCGATAAAGAACACTGCGATGGATATCCATGAGGTGAAGGGCCAACCTCTCTCATTGAGCCATTTACTGACGAACCCAATAGTATTTGGGTCAGTCCTAGCGCCCCACGCAAAATACTACTTCAATGACCTTTCTGGCAGACATCGATTTCTCCGGGGGACACGCAGAGTGCACACAACCGGGTACGTGCATAGTAAAACTGGCTCCACAAGGCGTCTCATGTGTTCAGGCCCTTCCAATCTCGCCAATTTGACGACTTGGCTGCGCGAGAACAATCTCAAGTGAGAGATATACACCTTGCACCGCATACACTTTGACTGGGCGCACCCCTTACAGAGCAGTACTCAGTGAATTCGGCGGAGGTGACAACGAAAATTGCTTTCAGGTGCGTCCGCCGTTGGGCACAGAGAAGTCGGGTTTAAATGGCTCCACAGATGATCGATGATCTCGTGAAATACATGGCTGCCAACGACGAGTGGATCGGGTGGTCCATCTGGGCCGCAGGTCCCATCTGGGGCACCAACTCTCCGTGCTGCGGACCTGACACCGGCAGCCTCGAACCCGGAGACTTGAACGATATGGGAGCGCCCAAGTATGTTGTCAAATGAAGTTTGGGATGTTTGTAGACTGACGCCGGCTAGTGCCTTTTCAACTGTATGGGCGGCGTCGATTCGTCCCAATATCCCGAAAAGTGCGTCGGATCAAACCGAGATCCTTAAGTCTCATCTGAATCCTTCCAGACTTGAAGCGGGCTGGAATCTCGAGTTTGCACGTGTAGCGGGCACGAAAGGATCCCTCCCTATGTTGTATTTGTGTTTACGAATCTACTCTCCCGAAGTGAAAATGGAGCATTTCCGTCTACACGTAGGACCACGAGGCCTGATGTCATTCGTTCGGTGAGAAAGAGATAGCTGCCCGAGGACGCCAGTTTCTGAACTGTGGTTGAATTTTGCCGGCTTACTGATGCGTATTGGAGATAATCACTGTCACTTTGCAGGCTTCGCCGCTCTCCCCGGCTTCCATAATCAAGAGTGATCTCGCTCACCGAAGCTATGCCCGAACCCCTGAGAAGCCCGACCAGTTCAACCTTTCGCTATGGCCGGAAGATTCAACCCCCCCCAAATTATATTAGACTTCTTCCATGAACATCCCAGCTTGCAACCACTCAGTATGCAATTTTTTTTAGTGGACTTCCCTTGGATTTTTCTTGGAGAAAAAGAAATATTATTTCTGGCAGTTCTCACGCTCCTTCACCGCATGACGTTTGCTGACTGAATTACCCCCGGAGTAGCCCGAGGTGCATTCAACATATAACAGCCGAGGTTCAACTCGAAGGCGGCACACCACCTCCACTGGTTCAACCACTTCCCCACTACAATGCCTCTCCACCGCTTCTTCACGCCCAAGGGAATGTACTCCCCCGCAGATAAGACCGCGATCGCCGCCGCCGTGACGGCCGTCTACAAGACGCTCCCCCAATTCTACGTCCTCGTCCTCTTCATCGAGCTCGACCCCGAGAACTTCTTCGTCGGCGGGAAGAGCACCGACAAGTTCCTGCGCATCGCCGCAGAGCACTACGCGCGGAATTTCTCCGAGTGAGTCGTTTCCTGTCCTAATTGAACTATCTTTAAATGATTAAATCACAGCGACAAGTCGAAGCGAGACTTCATGGATCGCTACGAGGCGGCGCTCGCGCCCTTCACCAAGGGCCGTGGGATCGACTGGGAGGTGCAGATCACCGATGCTGATGTGCGGCGTTATCCATTTCATGCCGATGCGAATAATCGGCTCACTTTTAACTTTGCAGCGCACGCTGTGGAACGAGAACGGCATGGCGCCTCCCCTGCCGGATACGGAAGAGGAGGGTATTTGGAAGCGCGAGAACCGGGCGGTGACGCCGGCGGAGATGGAGGTTTTCAAGGCGCAAGGGCGGCGCTAGACGGGGATTTGAATTGTATATGGTTTAGTTGTAAAATCATGCCGACTGGGTTTTATGCTTAACCATTTGTGGGACGTGCATGATTCAGCAGGACTGTTTAACCTGACCCACTGGCCGTAAGTTCGTTTTCCAGCTCCCATCAGGCGTTCCGAGTGAGCCGGACGAGAATACATCAAACCCTGGGAGTTGTATGTAGCTGAGCCCAAATAAAGCACGCTCAGACACCGAGATTCAAATCATCCCCAACCTCGGTGATACGTGTCAGCGCCGCTCGGAGACAATATAACTCCCCCTTTTCCTTTGTTCGTGGTATTTCCTGCGAGTTTACGGGATGGAACAGCGAGGTTAGTCCGGGGCTATTTTAGGATGGCGAATAAATGGATGCAGGAAGCGAGCGTAAATAGCCGAAGTCCAACGAGCGAAGTAGGAGACCGAAGTGCCCAGGGCTGGACTAGGACAAAGGGTTGAAGCATGCCATAGACAGCGGGATGGTTCGATCGGACATCCAGCTCAAGTTCAAGCAGGGGACAGAAGTACGGGGGGGGCAAAGATGTGGACTACGTCTAGAGCTTCGGGAATTGAGGAAACAGAGAATGCGCTGCGGGGAGATTGCTCGTCAAATAGCGAAGACAACACGCACGGCGGGATACAATGGCACTTGGGTTCGCAGACCAGGGGGATGAAGACTTGAACGCGGGACTGGCAGAGGATTCGATACGGGTCTGGGACCGAGTCAGCCCCTCGGCGCACAGCCTGTAGAATTCGAAGTTGGCGGTGGGCCACGATGTCAGAGATCTGCGCAGGCCCGGGGAGACCCAAGGCGCAAGTCGACGACTTCGACTTCGACTGAAATACGACATGGATGTAAGAGGCAAGCCGTATTGAAACTCCGCTCGGCCGGCGTCCCGTGAAAATTCAACCGACAATCGCCTTGATCGCAAGTTCAAACAAAAGAATTCTCAGTCTATATCTCAGACTCTCCTTGAACATCTCCGCCGTGAACCACCACCAAAATAAATGAAAAGGGAACAAAAAGGAACCCTCGCTGTTAATTCAGACACAGGGACTCAAACCCTGGACCGCCTCCAAACTATTCTGTTGGTAGCCAAAAAGAAAAGAGGCTGTGTTCCCGCTACACCATGTCTTATTGCTCAGAAAAAACACAGTGTTGGTGTCAACGGTGTAGTGAGGAGTCTGCGGAGACTCGAGGCGGAAAAAAGTGTTAGGAACAAAAAATTCAGATGCAGGGGCTCGAACCCTGGACTGCCTCTAGCTCTTTCTTGAGCTATTATGATAGGCCGTGTTTCCATTACACCACATCTGATATCCTTCACCCTCCCAGCATCCCATTATAGCTCCCTCTTCTATTTTCTTCTTCGACTAAGAACCTTGTGGAAGAAAAAACAACTCAGATGCAGGGACTCGAACCTTGAGCTGCCTCTGAAAATGCCAGCAACATGCTTCACGCCAGCTCCAGAGGCCGTGTTCCCACTACACCAAATCCGATTCTCTTCCCTATGTCTCCCACCATTTACATCCTTTCCCTATCTCTGAATCTTCCGCAAAAACAGGAAGGGAAAAGTGAATTCAGATGTAGGGATTCGAACCCTGGAATGTCTGTGAAATAGTCTGCACGAAGCTAGAACAAGAAGCTATGCTCCTGCTACACCACATCTGAGTTCCTTTCCCTTCCTACCACCCCTCTATCTTCTACTCCCTTCTCCATATTTAAAAAGAGGAAGGAATAAATTACTCAGATGCAGGGAATCGAACCCCGGGCTGCCTCTGAAATATGTATGCGATACAGACCTAAAACAAGAAGCTGTGTTCTCACTGCACCACATCTGAGTTCCTTCCACCTGTCTCCCACCAGTTACATCCCTTCCCTGTGTCTGATCCCACGCAAAAAAGAAGAGGAAAAAAAGAAGAGGAAAAAATAAGTAACTCAGACGCAGGGATTCGAACCCTGGACTGCCGCCGAAATGCTCAACCAATTATCTATGACAAGAGACCGTGTTCCCGCTACACCACATCTGATTCCCTTCCCCTTCCACATCCACTTATATCCCTACTCTCACCAGCTCCGTCGAGGGATTAAAAAGAAAATCTACTATGCGTAACCAAACGAATGTCTCTGTAGCAACTCTGTCCTACAGTAGTAAATGTAACGAATGTCGTGTCCTCCCACCCGAAGGCGGATTTTGTTGTTGTTATCAGCGGCGCACCTCAAGCAGCGAAGAAAGTATAGATGCGATGCATACACTAAAACCATCCCGTCGCTCAATAAAAGAATCGGTACGCTACCCCCTCCCTCCTCTCATTACTCTCCCCCCAAAATATGTACAACCGCGCGGAACGAGGAACGAGAGAACGAAGCGAAGGCGCTGCTAAGAACTAAGGATAGGAGACACGCCTAATCAATCGTGTTTGAACCCGCCCGTGGGCAACCCGAGCACGGCGGCGCGCTCGGCGGCGAGGAGGTCTGAGAGGCCGATGTAAAAGGCGATGAAGGCGGTGACGATGCCGAGGGCGCCGCCGCCGGTTACGACGCTGTGTGAGCGTGAGCGAACGAACGTTAAGAGGGAGGGGAGAAAAAGAGGAAAGGGAACGAGGAGGCACGGGCGCCGGGATACAGAGCGCGGACGCGCCGGTCGTCCACACCCCAACCCACTCTCCTCACATATGCATATAATATAAGAAACGAAACGCACCCCGCCTTGCCCGTAAACTCGCCCACGCCGAGGAGGAGGAACGTGAGGCTGAGGAAGCCGAACAGCGCGATGAAGGCGATCGATTTGCGCAGGGAGGCGATCCTGGAAGTGAACAAGGTAAGCGTTTGTTTGGATGTTAATAAGAATAAGCAGGCGGGAACACAGTGAGGGAGGCAGGAGGGAGGGAGAGAAAAGAGCGGGGTAACCAGCCCGCGAGCGCGCTCGGACGAAGTTGAACAGTTCAACATCCCCTCACGTGGCCGCGCGCGCCCACACGGGCCGGCGAAGCCCCGGGATCACGCACGCGCGCGCGTCGCGCGGAGAAATGGCGGATCGGGGTGCGGACGTGGGTGTGGGAGCGGGGGAATAAATGATGTGGGAATGGGGGGATAAATGGGTATGCGGGTATGCGGGTATGCGGTGGGCGCCGAGTCGGGGGATGTAAAAAAGATGTGGGCGCGCGGGTACAGCGGCCAGGGTAAACGGGTATGTGGGCACGGAGGGGATATGCGGGTATGTGGGCGCGGGCGCGGGCGCGGTGCGAGGGGCAAGGAGGATTATGTGGATGGGATGAATGGAAGAGGGATGGGGATGGCGCCACCAGGAGAGGGAGACGGGCGACGGGAACGCGGGTGCGGATCAGGTGGTGTGGGGAATATATGGAATAAATGAAATGGGGTTGCGGTTGGGTGCTTCGAATATGATGCATCAACAGGGAATGATAGGTACGGCGTGCGCAGGCGAAAAAACGACAGCCGACAGCGAGCGACGCGGAGCGAGGGGGAAAGAGAGGGAGGGGGGAGAAATGAGGAAGAGAGGGAAGGGAGACGCACAGGAGGAGGACGGTGACGATGAACCACGCGAAGAGGAATATGCCGATGGCGTTGTGGAACTCCTGCTTGTCTGCGTAGGCCCCGGCGATGCCGGAGCCGGGGATGAGGATCGCGGCGTACGACAACCAGAAGGCGCCGTAGGACGTGAAAGCCGTCGCGCCAAAGACGTTGCCGCGCGGGAACCTACGCGTCTCCGTCAGTCTCTCTCTACCACAAGGAGGATGGAGGGGGAACGCACTCCCACATGCCGGCAAGCAGCTGGGCGATACCGCCGGTGAAGAGGGCCATGCCGACGACGACGTTGGGGTGGGTGATGCCGCGGACGGAGACGTTGTAGAAGCTGAGGATGAACGTCGTGGACGCGAAGGAGAAGAGGCCGAGCGCGCCGGGGTTCGCGATGGTGCTGGGGCGCGGCGCGGCGGTGAGCGCGCTGCCGGCGCCGGTGTGGTGCGTGCCTTTCTCGATGTCGGACATTGTACACGGGGTAGGGAGGATGGGCGCGGGGGACAACAAGCAAGAAAAAGCTCGGTTGTGTGGTTTATAGAGGCGGGTGCCAACTGACAATCACAAGAGCCTTCTAATCCCCGGATGAATTAGCCTGGGCGCGATCACAACGTACCGTATGTATAAACAGGTCCCGAACAAGAACCGCCGCCGCGCTGCACCCTTATGCTTCTCGCTCCCGCTCTTCGCCCCCGCCGTCCTCTTCGCGCGCACTGCCCTCGAGCTCACGCTCCCTGCGCCCACGACCGATGCCCACTTTCTCGACGGCAAATCTCTGCCCCCGCCCCACACGGCCCCGCATCACGAGTGCGGGGCATAGCCGGATTTGCAAATTTCTTGACCGTTTGTCATCCGCCGCGCGTCGTTCGTTCGTCCCCGAGTCGGGTCCCGAAGCGAAGTGGGCCCAGTGGCGGTTGACCTCTTTCTTGCGCCATTCCATTCCATTCCACCCGCTCCTAATACTTAATGTAACCGCTCCCATCCACGTCCGAATCCGCCTAACCTGAAACGGTGTCGCCGCGTAATTCCCGTTGACACACTCCGCCGACGCAAAATTTAATTCAATTCAATTCAGCTTGTCTGTCATCCGATCCATTCGCTCCTCCATACATATGCGTCACCCGCTCTGAAAATCCTTGTCAGATGTCATGAAAATTGCGCTATTACCAAAGGGCTATAAATACCTCGCGACGCGGTGTCTAAACTCTCGAGCGTGATCGCGACGTGCCACGCGGAAGCGCCCAAAATTGGCCCAAAAAATGTGTACCTCACCAGCTTCGCAGCGAAAGAAATAATCGGACATGGTGTAGGGTACACCGCCTCTCATCTTATATATCGGCTGATTATCGTTATCGGAGGCAGTCCGGGGTTCGACTCCCCGTGTCCGATTAAGCCAGCTTTCATCCTTTTTGTCTCTTCGCCTGCCGGAAAGATGCTCACCTACCCAAGTTCGTAGGTATGGAAATCATCGGATATGGTGTATGGAACACTGCCTCTCTTCTTATGGAAAGGAGATGAATTGAACGAGGGCAGAGCGGGGTTCGACTCCCCGTGTCCGAATAGGCTACCTCCTACCTTTTTGTCTCTTCGCCTGCCGGAAATGCTCACCTACCCGAGTTCGTAGGTATGGGAAGCATCGGACATGGTGTACGGAACACTGCCTTTCTTCTTATGGCAAGAGCATAGAATTGAGCGAGGGCAGAGCGGGGTTCGACTCCCCGTGTCCGAATGTGGTCTGGAAATAGCTTCTTTTGGCCTATGAGGGAAGAAATATGCTCATCCATCCAAGTTCTTAGGTATAGAGAGTACTCGGGCATGGTGTATGGAACACCGCCTCTCTTCTTGTAGTGAGAGCGTGCAATTGAATGAGGCAGATCGGGGTTCGACTCCTCGTGTCCGAATTAGAATGTCACATTCAAGTGTGCTTTTTTTTCTTTGCCTGCCGGAAAGATGCTCACCTACCCAAGCTTGTAGGTATGGAAATCATCGGATATGGTGTGTGGAACACTGCCTCTCTTCTTGTGGAAAGGAGATAAATTGAACGAGGGCAGAGCGGGGTTCGACTCCCCGTGTCCGAATGTGGTCTGGAAATAGCTTCTTTTGGCCTATGAGGGAAGAAATATGCTCATTCATCCAAGTTTTTAGGTATAGAGAGTGCTCGGACATGGTGTACGGAACACCGCCTCTCTTCTTGTAGTGAGAGCGTGCAATTGAATGAGGCAGATCGGGGTTCGACTCCCCGTGTCCGAATTAGAATGTCACATCCAAGTGTGCTTTTTTTTCTTTGCCTGCCGTAAAGATCCTCACCTATCCAAGTGCGTAGGTATACAATTCATCGGATATGGTGTATGGTACACCGCCTCTCTCCTTAGAATATGTTGAAGGTAGTATGAGGCAGATCGGAGTTCGACTCCCCGTGTCCGAATGTACTCTCCTCATGCACTTTTTTTCTTTGCCTGCCGGAAAGATGCTCACCTACCCAAATTCGTAGGTATAGAAATAATCGGATATGGTGTAGGGTACACTGCCTCTCCTCTTGTGTGTACATGCATATCTTGTTACCGAGACAATCCGGGGTTCGACTCCCCGGGTCCGAATAGGTCAGGGCCTAGTTCCACTCCTTTTTGTCTCTTCACCTGCCGGAAAGATACTCAGCTACCCAAGGTCGTAGGTATACAAATAATCGGACATGGTGTACGGAACACCGCCTCTCTTCCTGAGCGTGTTTAGCCATACTTTAAGGCAGATCGGGGTTCGACTCCCCGTGTCCGAATTCCGAACCACTCCTGCATCATTTTTCCTTTGCTCCGGTGCTAAAAGATACTCATCTACCCAAGTCCACAGGTATACAAAGCATCGGACATGGTGTACGGAACACCGCCTCAGTCATGGCGGGGAGAAAAATATTATACGAGGCAGATCGGGGTTCGACTCCCCGTGTTCGAATGTCACATCCAAGTGTGCTTTTTTTTTTCTTTGCCTGCCGGAAAGATGCTCACTTATCCAAGTTCATAGGGATACAAATAATCGGATATGGTGTATGGAACACGGCCTCTCCTCTTCCATTGTAGATCATGGTTGTGTTGAGGCTAATCGGGGTTCGACTCCCCGTGTCCGAATGGGTTATCTGTGCTATCTTTGTAGTCCATTTTTCTCGCTCCGCCGGAAAGAAGCTCACCTATCCAGCCTCGCAGGTCTCCAAAGAATCGGATATAGTGCATGGAACACCACCTCTCTCTTTGAATCCTTCAGAGTAACTCGCTGAGGTAGTACGGGGTTCGACTCCCCCTGTCCGAATAACAAATCCCGGTCACATCCTTTTTCTTTGCTCCTGCACTCAAAGATGTTCACCTACCCAGCCTCGCAGGTCTCCAAAGAATCGGATATGGTGTATGGAACACCGCCTCCTCTTCTCATCGTATACACAGAACGGTCATCACCGAGGCAGCCTGGGATTCGACTCCCCATGTCTGAATGTCGCTTCCAAGTGTGCCTTTTTTTCTTGGCCTGCCGGAAAGAGATGCTGCTCGCCTATCCAGGTGCACAGGTATACAACTCATCAGACATGGTGCAGGGTACGCGGCCTCTCTCCTTGCATATTGAATGAGTTCTGAGGCACATCGGGGTTCAACTCCCCATGTCCGAATGCATAACTTGAAGTATCCGGCCCTTTTTCTTTGATGGAACACCACCTCTCTCTTTGAGTTCTTCAGAGTAACTCGCTGAGGCAGTACGGGGTTCGACTCCCCATGTCCGAATGTCACGTCCAAGTGTGCTTTTCTTTCCTTGCCTGCCGGAAAGATGCTCACTTATCCAAGTTCATAGGGATAAAAATAATCGGACATGGTGCACGGTGCATGGCCTTCTTCCTTAAATGAGAAGGATGAAAAAGTATGAGGCAGATCGGGGTTCAACTCCCTATGTCCGAATGCATAGCTTGAAGTATCCGGCCCTTTTTCTTTCCTCCAGCACTCCAAGATACTCACCTACCCAAAATTCGAGGTATAGAAATCATCGGACATGGTGTACGGAATACCGCCTCTGTTTCTTCCAAATTTCATCCGGTTCTGAGGCAGTCCAGGATTCAACTCGGGCCTGTGTCCGAATCACATTCTCTGCTGTCTTTTTTTTTGTGCCTGCCGGAAAGATGCTTACCTACCCCAAGTTCGTAGGTATAGAAATCATCGGATATGGTGTAGGGTACGCGGCCTCTCTCCTTGCACATTGAATGAGTTCTGAGGCAGATCGGGGCTCGACTCCCCGTGTCCGAATGGTGCCTTTCGTCTATTTTTTTCTTGCCAGCCGAAAAGATGCTCACCTATCCAACCTCGCAGCGAAAGAAATAATCGGATATGGTGTAGAGTACACCGCCTCTCCTCTTGTGTGTACACACATATCTTGGTACCGAGGCAATCCGGGGTTCGACTCCCCGGGTCTGAATAGGTCAGGGCCCAGTTTCACTCCTTTTTTTCTCTTCACCTGCCGGAAAGATAAGCACCTACCCAAGTTCGTAGGTATACAAATATTCGGACATGGTGTTTGGAACACCGCCTCTCTTCCTGAGCGTGTTTAGCCATATTTTAAGGCAGATCGGGGTTCGACTCCCCGTGTCCGAATTCCGAACCACTCCTGCATCATATACTCACCTACCCAAGTCCACAGGTATACAAAGCATCGGACATGATGTACGGAACGCCGCCCCAGTCATGGCGGGGAGAAAAATATCATACGAGGCAGATCGGGGTTTGACTCCCCGTGTCCGAATGTCACGTCCAAGTGTGCTTTTTTTTCTTTGCCTGCCGGAAAGATGCTCACCTACCCAAGTCCACAGGTATACAACTCATCGGACATGGTGTGCGGAACACCGCCTCTCCTCTTCTTGTAGATCATGGTTATGTTAAGGCTAATCGGGGTTCAACTCCCCGTGTCCGAATGAGACGTATCCCAGGTCGTTTTTTTTGTCCAAGGGATGAAAAATGCTCACTTATCCAGCCTCGCAGGTGGATAAAGAATTGGACATGGTGTAGTATGGAACATTGCCTCTCTCCTTGCCGTCCGGGGTTCAACTCCCTGTGTCCGAATATCGCTGGCCCAACCTCTTTTTCTCTTGCCCGCTAAAAATGCTCACATACCCAAGTGCGTAGGAATATAAGCTACTCGGGCATGGTGTACGGTACACATCCTCTATTCCCTGGCGACAATGTAAAATTGAATGATGAGGCAGATCAGGGTTCGACTCCTCGTGTCCGAATTCTTACAGACCAGTGTCTTTTTCCTTGCGCTGCGAAGAACTTGCTGACCTATCCAATAAGGTAGACTATGTTTGAGAGGACTCTAGGGATGAGACAGATAAGCAAACAGTCCACAGTAGATTACGATAAGTAATAACAGAACGAGTCTGTTGAAGATTCCAAAAATAGGGAGAGTTTATCGGTTTGCCAAGAATTGACTCTGCCGTCCAGCACGAAGCTAGACGGCCCCGATCCAGAACATGAGCGACGAGTCTGCAGCATTGAAGCTGGTCGACGAGAGGCTCAGATGTTCCAGCTCTGGATCGCGAGGTCAATTTGAACACAAGGCACTCCGGGGTCTTCGGGAGATGAAGATGAAGCCCAGAAATCCCAAACGGGAGTAACACTCCCTAGAGCAAAGCTCGCTTGAAGGGCAAGTCAAAGAGGCGACCGAAACCCCAAATGGGAGTGGTGCGAGGAAAGAAGGGAGAGAAAGAGGTTAGGAATAAAATATTCCCTCTCAATGAGAAAGTAATCCAACAAAATTCAAGACCAGAGATTATAGTGCACCGATTGGTAGACACTCGGCAGATTAGAAGGTGCACCCGAAAGAATTCGTCGGTACAGTTTCGTGCCCGCAAGCGCGTCGGCACGAAACAACATGAATGGACCTAAACCCGAAAGAATTCGTCGGTAAAGGGTAGCCCGCCAAAGCGTCGGCCACGGGAATAAAACCCCGTCAGAGGACAGTCAAGAACAAATTGGTACCCGAAAGAATTCGTCGGTACCGTGCCCGCAAGCGCGTCGGCACAAATAAATATAAAAGAAGACCTAAACCCGAAAGAATTCGTCGGTAAAGGCTGTGCCCGCAAGTGCGTCGGCACGAGAACAAATGCGCGCCAAGGCGTCGGCATATATAAGCCAATCCGCACGATGACAATTATCACCGGACAGACAAATCTCAAGTCAAGAATTTTGATTCATCGCCTCGTGAGAGAGCGATGACAACGCGGGAGCAATTACATATAAATGAACAAATATAGCACTCAACAATCATCCGATGCGACTCGAGGGTCCGAAGAATTGATTGATGGATTCTTGGGTAGATATAGGATGACATGAGGACAAGGGCAGTGAAGGATGTGGATGGCATAGAGC